AGTGTTGGCTGGCATGTTGATTGGGGTGTTGGTTGGTTGGGGTGTTGGCCAGGGTGTTGGTTGTGGTGTTGGTTGGGGTGTTGAGTGTTGGCTGGGGTGTTGGCTGTTGGTGTGTTGGCTGGGGTGTTGGTTGGGGTGTTGGCTGGCATGTTGCCTGGCATGTTGGTTGGGGTGTTGGTTGGTTGCCTGGCAGGCTGGCAGTCCCTGGAATGAGAGGATGGGATGGGGGGTGCTGGACTGAGAGCTGTGTCCTTAGCTCTCAGTTTAGGGCAGGCACATAGAGGGTGCCACTCAGTGCACTGCAGATGTTAATTATTTACTGCAGAGCAGGAAGCTCTTCCAGAGGCCCAGAATCTCCCAGAACCCTGCCCTCAGGGAGAGTCCATTCCAGTGGGGAGGAAGGCAATGAAGAACAAACACAAAACATAAGTGGGGACCAGGGCTGTGGGACGAAGACATGGAGCAGGGGGTACGTCAGGGTGCCAGGCAGCATGGCCAGGGCAGGCAAGAAGGCCCTTGTGCTTTTTGGAACAATGGGTGGGTGGTCTTGGGAGGGGAGTGGGTAGAAGACTGAACCCCTGTAGGAAGGATGTCAAGGGACATCACAGGAAGATGGGTGTGTCTGGGCAGAGTCAGGTGGGGTCTAACTTGGGCAGGTAGGGGATTAGGGCTGGGTGGACTCAAAGGATGGTGGAGGAGTAAGGGTACAGGGGAGGGCAGATCACCTCCGGGGCCCAGGCTGGGCTCCATTCCAGGCCCAGGCTCGTCCCTAACACAGCCCCCTCCCTGCCACCTCCACTGTGTTCCCATCACATTAGCAGAGTGACAGTCCCAGCAAGCGCTGGCGGCGGCTCCATAAATCTCAGCCTGTGTTAAAAGGCTGGACTCTGGGCCCACTTCCTCTGGGCACCCGCCCTGTCCATCTCTGTGTCAGTCAGGTTGTGCTAGATGCCTGTGCCAGCCGCTCCTCACCCCTAAATGCTGGCAGGGGAACCAGAATGACCGTGACCCTGAGTGGCCAGGGCAGGGCCCCTCCACTTCCCAGAGTGAGGTCACAGGCCATCTGTGAGCCAGTCCTGGGTGTGCCAAAACGTCTGTGGTTTCCCCTGCTGCCCGTGGGAAAGTCCTTTGCTTAATGCGTAGGGTCATTCCTACCTTTACCTGTAATTCATTCATTCAATCAACTTTTGTCATTTTTGAGACAGAGTCTTGCTCTGTGGTGATGTGATCTCAGCTCACTGCAGACTCCACTTACCAGGTTCAAGCGATTCTCCTGCCTCAGCCTCCAGAGTAGCTGGGATTACAGGCATGCACCACCACACCTGGCTAATTTTCATATTTTTAGTAGAGACAGGGTTTCGCCATGTTGGCCAGGCTGGTCTTGAACTCCTGACCTCAGGTGATCTGCCTGCCTCTGCCTCCCAAAGTGCTGAGATTACAGGCGTGAGCCACCGCGCCCAGTCCCTTGTTTGTTTTTTGAGACAGAGTCTAACTCTGTCGCCCAGGCTGGAGTGCAGTGGCACAATCATAGCTCACTGTGATTGGGAGTGAGGTGGGAGGATCACTGAGGTGGAACTACAAGCTGGAACTACAGGCACATGAGCTGCCACACCTAGCTAATTTTTTTTTGTTTGTAGAGATGGGATCTTACTATGTTCCCCAAGTTGGTCTTAAATTCCTGGGCTCAAGCAAGCCTCCTGCCTCGGCCTCCCCAAGTGCTACGGTTACAGGCTGGGATTACAAACATTTATTGAGCGCTTATTATAAGTGCCAGCCCCAGTTCTGGGTGCAAGAGATGCCGTCTTTCATTTTCGGGGGACAGAAGACAAGGAATACAATATGTAAGTAAATTATACAGCACGTTAGAAGGAGATAGGTGCTCAGAAAAATGAAAACCGGAGCAGGGTGGGGGCTGGGGGAGTGCCAGCATGGGGCAGGGGAGGCAGCTGCAATTTCAGCTAGGGGCCAGGGCGGGCCCCTGGGAGATGGCATTCAAGTGAAGGCTTGTGGGAGTGCAGGGAGCAGCCGAGCGGACATCTGGAGCAGGAGTAGCGGGGGCAGAAGGAACTGCAGCGCAGAGGCCCAGAGGCAGGAGTGCGCGGGGCCTGTCCGGGGAGGCTGGGGTGGCTGGAGCAGAGGGGGAGGGTGGCAGTGTGGAGGTGACTGTGAGAGGTGGCTGGGACCTGACAGACCATGGAAAGGACCTTGGCCTAGGCCTTGAGTGAGATGAGAGCCCAGGCAGGGTCGTGGGCAGAAGATACTTGATGAGCTGATGGGTTGAGAGGCCCATCCCTGTGTGACCTTTGTCTTCCTGAACTGAGTGGCTAAAGATCTTGCTCCTTGCGGGTTCTCTGGGCTCCTGGGCCATCTCCCGTCTCCCCACCACTTGGCCGGACTCCAGTCATTTCCCGAGTCAGCCTCCCTAAATTCCCCTCCCTGTCTTCTGCTTCCAGGCCTTTGCCGCGCTGTTCCCTCTGCCTGGGACACCCTTCCCAGCAGTCTTCACCAGGCTCATACCTACCCATCCTTTGGATTGCAGTGGAGGTGTCACTTCCTTCTAGAAGCCTCCCTGATGTTCCCAGGTGGGGGCGAGCACTCCTCACCAAGCTTCTATGGTGCCACCCCCACTCTCACTGCCACACCCATACCACAGCTCACCATGTGTCATGGTGGTGCCCTCATCTGCACTATGAGCTCAGGGGACAGGGACCAGGCCCATCTGTGCCCGGGAGTACCTGTCCCGGCGCCCAGCTCAGGGCCCAGCACACAGCGGTGATAAAGGAACGGAGGAAGGACGGGGTACTGCGGGTAGGACGCGCAGGGGTTGGGTCTGCAAAGTGTCCTCCAAAAGGACAGGCTTCGGAAGGCGGTCTTAGGTGGCCTGTCCTCAGGCCAACAGTCCCCAGCAAAGCCCCTCATTCTATGAGTCCTCCAGGGAGCTGTGACCTCCATGGGGACAGCTAGAGGAGAAAGGGGAGGAGGGAAAACATCTCAGCCACAAACAGACCCCCACCCCGCATCCTGGCTGGCCAGCGACAGCTCTTAACTCTGCTCTTATTTATTCCTGACCTTCGTGCCCCTTTTATTTTTCCCCCTTTTAAAACCTGGCCTGGGCCCCGCCACCGCTGCTGTAAACACGGCCCCCGGGATTTATCCGACGGCACATTAACCCCTGGCCCCTGGCTCACCAATCATTCTGCTGCCTGTGCAGACAGCGGGCAGCCCGGCCAGCTGAGGGGCTGAGGGGCTGGGGTGGTCTGCCCAGGGTGGGCTGGCCATGGAGGCAGGCGCTGGGAGGAGAGGGACACACCCCCACTTGGTACCTGTGACCTGGGCCTGTATCCCTGGTGGCTGGGTCCACCCTGACCTCCGACATCCTGCCTGCCTGGCCCTGCCAGAACCCCTGCTCCGTGGGGGTTGTTAACAAGGGCAAACACAGCGGCATCCCAGGACTGAGAGCTGGCGGCTCCCTCCCTGCCTTTCCAAGAACTGTCCTGGCTGCAGAGCCCGAGGTCCAAGGGCAGGGCAGAGATGATCATTTTGCCCTCACAGTTGGGGAAACTGAGGCCAAGAGGGACAGAGCTACCCAAGACCACGGGGGGATCAAGGGCAGGGCTGGGCTTTTCCCACCACACTTGCGGCCCACACCCAGTTACAGAGCAGGAGGTTTGCATTCAGAGGGGCGCGAAGCTGGCTCGGGGTGCCTGGTGGTGAGGGTGGCAGGCCTGCCATCCAGGTCTCTAGCTCTAGGGGAGGGAGTCACCCTGTGAGGATAGCGGGGAATGTGGATGGCAGTGATCTGGGCACCGAGGTCGAGGGGTAGGGGAGATGCCACCCCCACCCCCACTCCCACCAAGACAGAAGGTCCACTCACCGCCACCGCCTCCGAGCAGGGAGCTGTTGGCTGCAAGAGAGACAGAGAAAGGCCGATCAGTGGGGAAGGGGCTGGGGTGGGAGTATCAGTCTTGAGGGGAGGGCAAGGTCGAGATGGAGTGGGCTGCCAGCGGGGTCTTCAGCCTCAGGGCACAGGGTCTTCCCAGTCCTCTGGGGCAGTGGTAGATGATGGGGAGAGGGAGGAGGTTCCTCACGGGCTTGGGGTTTGTAGGGTGGCAGGGGTGGGGACACAGGAGAGTTACTAGGGCCTCCTGCCTGCTCTCCCGGACACAAAAGCATCGGGGGTCCAGAGAGGCAGCTGGCCTGCACCACGGCCCTTTCATTCCTTCACTCTTTCACCCACAGAGTCTCCTGAGGCTGGTCAGGACCAGGCCTGGTGCAGAGAGGTGGAGACGATGGCACAGGTCCCTGTCCCCAGGGCTCACAGCTTCCAGCAAGACACAGCCTTGAAGCCACTAGGAAGCAAACTGCACCTTTGCAACCCGGCTAAGCACCACCCAGGGCCGGGGCGGGAGGGCTGAGAACAAGGACCCTTACTGGGGGTGTGGGCGTGATCGTGGGCATGGATGGGGGCACCTAGCCACGAGAGGGACAAGGCAAGCCAGGTAAGGGGCCTGGAGCACCACCACTGGAGCCAAAGCCAGACCAACAGTGGGTGACTGGGGCCACATGGCCTCATGCCTCAGTTTCCCCATGTGGGAGAATAGCCCCACCTTGTCGGCTGATGTGAAGGCCAATGGAGAGGGATCCTCAGTCTGGGCCCTGCTGCAGGAAGGCCTGGGTCCCCGCCCCCTCCTTGGACTAGGGGTGGGGCTGCCAGGCAGAGCTGGACTGACAGCTGTGTGACTGCCACTTTCCTGCACAGCCCTGTCCCTCTCAGTCTGCCCGGTCGGTGACCCCCCATACCATGCAGCTGACACGGGGGCAAAGTGAGGCTGGCAGCCCCCCTCTGCGGGAATGCCAGGGCCGTGCAGGCCGGCGCCGCCCCCAGCCGGGGCTCCAGTTCCCGCCAGCAGCCTTCATCCGTGGAAACTGCCAGAGCTCATCAGGGAAAGCGGCGGGCAAGGCCAGGCAGGTGCTGCCCAGGCCCAGATGCTGCCCAGGTGGGAGGCCAGCTGCGCCCGCCCCTCTGCCTGGGAGTCCTGGCTCCCAGGCAGGGCCTTCAGCTCCGCACGTAGCTCTGCCCGCCCCCTACCTGCCCAGCCTGTCGCAGCCCTTTCTGTAGGAAGGTGGTGGGGGGGGGCACAAGCCGGGCTGGGCCGGCCAGGCTGCAGGCCCCCGATGCCGTGAGGACGGCGTGGATGCTGCTAAGTGGTGTCGGCTCCGAGTGGCTGGTCTCCCACAGCTGACAGCTCTTCGCTTGGGGAATAATTAATTCCACAGCCTGAAAACCCAGGGCTGCAAGTTGCCACGTTACTTGCGAGATTAATACAAGCAGCTAATTAAGATGGAGAGGCGAGGAGCGGCTGGGCGCTGCCAGAGCAGGGGTGGGGGCCTTGGGAGGTGAGGGGGAGGTGGGCCGAGCGGTGCCAGGGAGGCAGTGGGCGCAGGAGCCGGAGCCGGAGGGAGGGCAGGGAGCCCGGCCACGATGGGGCGCCAGGCCGGCCCGGGGCAGGCCCCCCGGTGGCTCTGGGTAGGGCTTGTGCCACGAATGCACATTTCTTCTGTTTTTGTTTTTTTTGAGATGGATTCTGGCTCTGTCGCCCAGGCTGGAGTGCAGTGGCAGGATCATGGCTCACTGCTACCTCTGCCTCCCAGGTTCAAGAGATTCTCCCACATCAGCCTCCCAAGTAGCTGGGATTACAGATGCCTACCACCAGAGCCAGCTTTTGTATTTTCGATAGGGACGAGGTTTCGCCATGTTGGTCAGGCTGGTCTTGAATTCCTGATCTCAAATGATCTGCCCGCCATGGCCTCCCAAAGTGCTAGCATTACAGGTGTGAGCCACGGCGCCCGGCCACGAATGTGCATTTCTGCTCACCAAAGACTGCTTGCTCGGTGCAGGCTGGACGCTGGGCACAGATGGGCCCATTTATTATAACAAAGCCACAAGGGAGGTGCAATGTTCCCACTTTATAGAGAAGGAGACTGAGGCTCAGGGAGCTTGAGTCATGGAGTGACGGTAGCAAAATTGGGACAGGGTCTGACTCCAAAGCCAAGCCGCAAAGCCAGTTGACCCCGAGGGAGGCTGCCTGAGGTATGGTCAGAGGGACCGCCTTCCCCTGGCCAGGGGTGGGGCCTACCTTCTGGAAACCAGGCAGAACACCCCACAGGCCCCAGATGCAAGCTCCACCCACTCCCCACCCAGCAGGTCTGGCTGTAGAGGTGAGGGCCGGGCGTCTGGGCAGTGCCACCCCAGAGCCAGCGAGGGAGGAGGGGGGCATCTCAGGTCATGGTCCAGCTCCAGGCCCCTCAGCCTGGGCAGTCCTGGTGCCTGTCGGCAGCTGCCCTCCTTGGCCTCTCCCTACCTCCCCCCATCACCTCTCTCTCTTAATTAACACTGGCCACAAATGAGTTGGCTCCCGCTCAGAGAGGGCACTGTGCCAAATAGGCTGGCAGTGAGCCACGAAGGGGTAGCAGGGGAGGGTGCTGGCCTGCCGCTCTGCAGGCCCTGTGGGAAGGTGATGCCGTCCCCTGCCCACCTGGCACCCCCAAACTCCACTGTGTGTGGCCTTGCCCTGGCAAGGTGAGTGGGTGAACTGACCCGAGGCCCACCGGCCAGAGCTTGAGGAGGGAGGTGGGTGGGGGCAGAGGGAAGCCTTCGTTGGGTGGAGCTGGGGGAGGCCAGGAGGTGTGATTGGCCACAGGTGGCAGAGGACGGCTTCGGCCAGCATGGGGGCTCAGACTCGGCTGCACAGAGGACCTGGTCCTGGGCCTGACCCATGCCCAGTGGGTGCCCTGGGAGGTCAGTCTTTTGTGCCCCCTTCTCCTGCCTGCCACGCCTGGTGTCCCATGGGTGGGGGCTCCAGGGGGCAGGTGGCCAACCTGGTGGCTGGGACCCTGTTCCTCAGCTCCTCTTTTCCCTGGGTCCCTGTTCTGGCCCTCTCCCCTAGGTCCCGACACTCGTCCACATGGTGGTCCCATAAAGCTGCCTCCAAGGCCCGACAGCTGGGCGGTCCAGGGGAATGGCCTGGAGGCTTGGGGAGAAGAACCACGGGTGGTTGTACCAGCCGACGGCCGATAGGCAGACTTCCAGGTGTGGCCACCAGCTCACCCAGCCCAGGGCAGGGCCTCCTGGGTCTCCCTGCTCACCAGGCCTCCGTGCACCCCAAAATCTTGGCCCGTGTCCGACCCTTTTCACCTCAGCCAATCCCTAGCCACCAGCTTGAGCCTCCAAGTTCCCGCTCTATTGCACCCCATGCCCCGCTCAGTTTGCTGGGAGACTCTGGTCCTTATCCAATGGGTCATCAACCCAGTTTCCAGAGGGGGAAACAGAGGCCCCCTGAGTACCCAGGGACTGGGGGAGATGGGGGCACTGGGGGAGATGGAGCTGGGCCTGAGGACACTGGGGGAGATGGAGCTGGGCCCAGGGGCACTGGAGGAGATGGAGCTGGGCCCAGGGGCACTGGGGGAGATGGAGCTGGGCCCGGGGGCACTATCTGTCATAGTCCCTTTCCTTGACTGCAAACACACCCATCTCAAAGGGTTGTTCTATCAAGATTTGGGGGCTGCAGGCAGGCCATGGCCACGTGAGGTGGGGGACGGGCGTTGGACTTCTGGTCCAAGCTGGGGCTCGTGACTCAGCCCCACCCAAGGGACCCAGACCTGCTCCCAGCAAACAGGGGTCCCTGAGTGCTGTGTGTGGCTGAGTGGGAGCCCTGAGCCTGGCCCTGGGAGCTTGGCAGGGGCACGGCTTGGCGGGGGGCACAGCTTGGTGGGGGGCATGGCTTGGTGGGGGGCACGGCTTGGCGGGGGCACAGCTTGCTGAGGCTCCAGGTGGGCGCGCAGCTCATTGCACCCTTTCCCTGCTTGGGAGCCTCGGTCACAAACCCGTTTTACAGATGAGGACGCTGAGGAGAGTGATCCTCTCACAGTGTACATTTGGAGAGGAGGTAAAATCTCCTCTTTCACACCAGTTGCCCTATGAAAACCCTCCCAGCGGGAAGCCCTGGGGGCCTTGGGAGTCCTAGTGAGAAATGAGAAATCCTCTTTGCTCTTAGGATAAAGACTGGCCCCTTGCAGACCCCCAAGCCCCATCGACCATGCCCTCCCCTCCACCTCTCCCTCTGCCGTACACATGGTCCTCAAACTTGCCCCCTGCTCTCCAGCCCCAGGGCCTTTGCACAGACTCTGCCACGGTACCTCTGCCTGGAGGAGACCCTCATCATCCCCCGCTGTCACTGCCTCCAGAATCCTCCCCTCCCAGGTGCCTATGTTTTTTTTTTTTGAAAGAAAGTCTCACTCTGTTGCTCAGGCTGGAGTGCTGTGGTTCCATGTTGGTCCACTGCAACCTCCGCCTCACGGGTTCAAGTGATTCTCCCACTTCAGCCTCCTGAGTAGCTGGGACTCTAGGTGAGTGCCACCATGCCTGGCTAATATTTTGTATTTTTTTTTTTTTTTTTAGACGGAGTTTCGCTCTTGTTACCCAGGCTGGAGTGCAATGGCGCGATCTCGGCTCACCGCAACCTCCACCTCCTGGGTTCAGGCAATTCTCCTGCCTCAGCCTCCTGAGTAGCTGGGATTACAGGCACGCACCACCATGCCCAGCTAATTTTTTGTAGTTTTAGTAGAGACGGGGTTTCACCATGTTGACCAGGATGGTCTCGATCTCTTGACCTCGTGATCCACCCGCCTCGGCCTCCCAAAGTGCTGGGATTACAGGCTTGAGCCACCGCGCCCGGCCCATATTTTGTATTTTTAAGGACAGGGTTTTATCATGCTGGCCAGGCTGCTCTTGAACTCCTGAGCTCAGGCGATCCACTGGTCTTGGTCTCCCAAAGTGCTAGGGCTACAGGCGCGCACCACGGCGCCCCGCCACCAGCTGCCTATCTTGTACCCCCATTCCTGCCC